ATCGCGACCGCTTACGGGCCCCACTACCCCTGAAATTGAGATACACGGTAGCGTATCGGCTGGCCGAGTGCACCGCGTATCTACACACAACGGAGCTTCCCCTTCCATTGTCAGACCCTCGGGTGGAAAGTACTCACTTTCCTCCCGCTCATCAAAGAGCAAAATACAAATTTTCCTTTGCAGGGGTGTTAAAAAAATAGCATGTGTACCTCGGGCGGGAAAACATGACTTTCCGCCCTTGATGCACAATATACTAAAATAGATTAATTAAAAGCAGTTCAATTGGGAAAGAAAAATGTTCTCCTTCAATCTTTTCCAATTATTTAGCTCCTAAAATTGTCAACCAATTATTCATTTTCAGATTGGAGGACAACGCATATCGACAACAGCACGAATAATTCATGCAATCTTCTCATTCCTCATACTTGTATCAATTATTCTCTCGTTCGTTCGTATTATGGCTTGGCTCGACTTCCTGTACATCTGTGGTTACATTAAATTAGCGATAACATTGATAAAATATGTGCCACAGGCGTATTTTAATTACCAAAGAAAATCAACAGTTGGATGGAGTATTGGGAATATATTCTTGGACTTCACCGGAGGCGTGCTGTCTATGCTACAGATGATTTTAAATGCATACAATTATGGTAATTAAACTCAAATATGCGATATTATCTCGGAAACGAGAGATTTGATAAAAAAAAGAGTCAAAAGACCTGCCGCATTACTTCATATATCTAATCCGGAGATTGGCAGCTAAATTATTCTATTGATAATATTTCATTGCCAGTTATTAAAATGGCGATAACCAACAAAAAAATAAAATTCCGATTTCTTTTCTCACCAATAATGGTGCAAAATTTATTTTATGTTATTGCGCTCTACTAAACACGTTTCTAAGCTCGCTTCAAACTCGGTGTTCAATCGTCGAAACATAAAGTAGTTATAATATACTCGTTGGAAAAGCCCATATTTTGCAAAATGTCCTGGAACTTTACAGCCCGGAACGAACATTGAAACAGTCGTGCAACGTTACAGCTCGGAACGACAGTCAGAACAAAAGTTGTGAAATGTTACAACAAGGAACGAAAGTCGAAACGTATATCCTCTAACATTATAGCTCGAAACAAACGTCGTGGAACATATCTCACCTGGGACGAAACTTTCAGCAATTCGAATGAGAGTAGGGATGAACAAATGCCGCATTGCTGGGCATCAACTTATAAGAGAGAACAGCTTGCCCTAATGTATCGGATAGTGAATGACTTTTGCTCAGGAATAATATGACCCCGGGATTCGGTATATTTAATACCTCACTTCGGAATTGACTCGATTATGAGAGCGGAGGCTTGTATATGAACAGAAAATTATGCAAAGACTCGAATTCTCAAATTCTAGATTCTCACGATAGTGTCCAAATTTTGGGCACGATGGACAGAATCTGTGCACAGTTTCAGGCGCGTAAATATTGATAACCGTAATTTTCCCCTTAGAGATTTTCGACCGTGTCCATCCGCTCCGCGACCGGCACACGCAGAATCCGGTCATCAGAAGCACAAGATTTATCAGTTTTCTCCGTATCACACGCAAATCATGAATATTACATGAAAACACTTCATGATTTTTCTGAGGATTACACGCAGTCGCCCCATGATTTTTCCGAGAACTCTAAGCAGACGCAGTTCAAGTCTCGGGGTTTTTCACGCCCACGTTTTAATCAACCCCGAGGGTCCTACGCGGCCACCGGTCAAATCTCTTCGTATTCAATTTTTTGCCTGTATTCCAAATCCCTGCTGAAAATAATATTAGTCCTAATCTCTGATTTAATCACAAAGTCAATCATTTTCAAAATGTTTGAACAATCGATAGACTGGAAACACTCAATCGCTAATTATTCTTGATAGACTTCAAGTATGTGCCGTGAATGACATACTAAATTTATCTGTAAGTTTAATGCGTACGACTGACACAATCAGTTTGTCATAGAAAAGCTATTATTCATGAAAAAGCTCCAGAATGTCAAAATTGTTGCACCATCGTCAATCATGCATATGCTCTCATGAACCAGTGGAATTGAACGATTAATTATAAAAAATGTGGTTAATTTTCAGACGATTGGCACAGTATTTTCGGAGATCCAACGAAATTCGGCCTTGGTTTCTTCTCAGTCGCATTCGATATATTTTTCCTCGTTCAACACTATGTATTATACAGGTAAGAATACCTCCGTATTCTAGTTTCATGCTTAAGATTCGTGCTTTCTTTTCAATTCATCGAGGAAATGAGAAAACGTCTCGAGCCAAACGTGAAATGCGTTCATCTTTTGTACTAAGGATACATAGTTCGAATGAGAATTTCGAAAGACCTTTCTCAAGTCTGAGAAAATTTGCCGTGAAGAACGTATTTCACACATCATAGATATGCTTTAAATTGTAACATCATTGTTAACAAAGCAGTAGATTTGGAACCAGATGGTTTTTGGAAATGTCAAAGAGCCTTCTCTGCAGACTACTTTGTCAACTGTGATAACATTCTTTTGACGATTTCTCATCAGATTTATCATTACGTAAAAAATTTTATAATCACGCAGTACTATTGTTTTCACCAAATTTCTTGCTTCCCTAATGAATTACTTCGCATGGACATTCTTTTCATTGATTTTTCTAGTGTTCCATACGCTACAATAAATAACCAAAGTTTTTTTAATACAGTGAAATAAGGAAACTATTGATATTCACATTGAAAGAAAATTATATTTGATACACATCGATATTGCTTGCTGAATTATAATGGTAAAAAGTAATGCTTGAGAAAATCTTCAAAATACTTTTTTGGCCGTAAATTTCCTTTTGTCGTTGAAATGCATACTCTGTTCTTGCATGTTCCTATTATCTCAATAAAAATTCTGAACTCCACTCCTTTCACCGTTTCTCTACAGTGGCATCTCTTAATTTTCAATAATTTCCATATTTTACTTATTGCAAAGAACTCAGTATCCGCTTAAGCTTTTAATGTAGACCTAATTAACAAAAAAAATGATCATGTAATTAATATTTCCAGACATGAAAAAAACCTCCTAAAATCTAACGAGTTCATTAACATCGCGACCTAACCATAAAAATCGGTATCTAAAAATAAAGATGCAAGAAAGAATGAAAAAAATGAAAAATGCATGGGGGTAGAGAGAAACAATTCTCATTTTCCAGGCATACCAGTGAGAAAGTGTACGACCTTGAAGGCCGGACATAGAGAAAAATGGAAGAAGTTCCTGTCAAGATATCCATGATCATGATTCGAGTAATTGAAACCTTTGGGAGGCATTATAAGTCATGAAACGAACCGATAGACTTGTGCATGCCTTGAAAGCTGGGAAATTTGCTGTATTATAATCATTTTTGTGTGGAATTATGTAATTTTGTAATTGCATCTGAACCCTATTTAGGCGAAGTAATTTTTTTACATTCTTTAAAAATGACTTGGTTGACTTGAATGAGAATAAATTTATTTTTTATCATAGCTTTTGAATTTATAGGAGTTTCATTTATTTTTTATAGAAAATGAAGAGACGCATGAAGGAACTTCATTTTTATTCCTTTCTGTCCTCATTGGTGCTTCTATAATCAAAATTATAGCATTAAGAGATGAATTATGATTGTTAGTGAAAAGTATTAACTTCGGGGTTTCACCATTAATTTTGCAAAGAATTTGATGCATGGTGCATGATCCGACTAATTGGTAGTAATGATCCAAGTGATTTTGAGTACTAAAAAATGAGGATGAGTCCCAATCGAATTAGCGGATTATTGTGCGGACGTTCTCGAAAAATAAAAGTTTAAAGAAATTAATCGAGAGGCCTTTTTTGTCAAGAATTAAATTCCCTACGAGAAGGTTTTTGCTCACTTGTTCGGAAAGTCCGTCAACCCCAAGATGATGAGTTCTTTACAATACATTAATATTCACTATTAACTCTTGTTAATTCTTAAATTATCCTGGTAATCATGCCAAGAGACTTTTTTCGGGGGGAATTCCATGTTCTGCAAGAAAAGCCTCGTAATATTTTCCTTTAAATCCACTAGTTCCAGTGATATTTTTGGAATGAGCTAGTCTTATCTATTTTTACTCTTGTCCTACAGAATTTAATTTCGGAGATTTAAGATTAAAAAATTCACAGGAATCAAGAGTACGTGGATATACCCGAAGGGTGTCAAGAGGAGCGTGAGATCGAAGACCCATCCAAGCGAATAGAGGCTTGATTATGGTGATTATTAAGTGTTCAAAACGATTCGAAGTAGCGCAAAAAAATCCATGGCCTCAATATGTTCAATTAAATAGATTAGTTCGATTACTGGATCATGGACAAATTTGTAGTGAAGTGAAGCAATGTACTGTTTATACTCCTATTTTTATTGTGAATGAATGTGATAAGCCGTTCAGTATATTTAGCAGGATTTTTTGCGCGAGGGAATGTCAGGATAAAATTTCAAGGGGCATCAAAGCAATGCGAAATATTTCCATTGTCAATAACTCTAGTGAGTGAAATTCTAAAAAATTCTGCTCGTTTTAGAAATATTTCACGTGTGAAACTCGTTATATTCCATCTACTCATTCAGGAGTTAGTGATCATTGACAAATATCCATTCAGCCTTATTCTCTCTCCACTACACTACTGAGTTTCGAAAATTCTACAATTGAAAAACGAATGCTAGGGGAGGTTCTCTTACCTCCGTATTTTCTTGGGAAAATTGTAAATCACTTACTGGAGGGTATTAAATAAGGCGAACTTTGGAGGGAAAAAAACTATAAAAATATATTTTTGATTTCGAAAAAGTTGAAGGATCCAGCTAAAAATTTAACATAATGTTCATGGCATATTTTTCAGTTACAAAGCAGTCGAAACTCGTAGCATATCTTTTTAAAATATATCCCAAGACAATCGGACCCAAAAGTCAGTCCCTATGGATTTCCGGAAAAAACTCTCAATAATGTTAGCTCCAGCGGAGAATAAAGGGATACACAGGTTAATAAATAATTGGGGCGGTTCATTATTACAATCCGGGCAATACGATGGCAGTTACAACGAAGGACTTCCAAAAGAAGAATCGCAGGAACTTCCAAAAGAATGTCGTTCTTCAGAACCTCCTTCAGATCACAGATAATTGAATTAGGATTCGAAGGGGGACACGTAACAATAATTTATTGCATTCTCGTATATTATTGACTTAAGCAACAATATCTCTTTGAATTGAATAAGAAATTATTTGTCAATTAATTTTTGTAATCAAAAATAAGAAATGCTCAAAGATATTTCCATTTTTCTGAATTTATCAATCTATCATGGATTAGGTTTTTAAGAACATCGTAACAACCTTTTATAAGATGAAAAAATCAAATTTGGGCGGTACCTATCTCCCCCGCCTGTTAGAGGGCCGCATTTAATTATTTATTATCTCCTAAACTGTGTAATACTGCTAGTTAGCATTTTTTTTAATAGCTGGGGACTATTATAAACATTGTCTATCAAAAACATGGGGACAATCTTAAGAAAAATGTGTTTCCGAGGAATATACCTTAATTTCATTGATATTTAACCGTTACATGGGAACGATGATTTTCAACGAATTTATTCTTATAAAAATCTAGTCGATACCCCTAATGACTCTTCAATGATAAATAGAGTCGTGTGACGATTTATTGAAGTAAGTAATTGTGGTGGTTCGCATGAATATAACCCACATTGTTGATTTAGAAACAATACCGATCGCTTGAATATTAGCGTTCAGCATTGGAAACGAGAATGGTAACACTGTAGAAGTGTGACCCATCATCATCAAAATCATTAATACACGATGGATAGGTTCTCATCCCATACATCTATATGATCACCTGCCTAAATAGGTAGATGACTCATAGAGGTTGGAATTTTATTGTGTAGCCTAGCTCATGGTCAAGGACAAATTCACAACTCACATCACCGAATTAATTCGAGTGTTTGTGAGCGACAATTTATAATATTTTTCCCGTAAATAACTCCGAAAAATAAGTACAATAGACCGGCAAAATCATTAATACATGATGGGTCACACTTCCACAGTGTTACCACGAGAATTCACAGAGTGGGGAGTTTTCATTCAGACGGCTTCAATTGGAGAATTATTTTGGAGAATCAAAAGAATCTCGCTCTTTAATTGTTTATGCACAATGATGCAAGATAAACTATCATATACAACGGAAAAAAATTGTAAAGAAATGTTTGAGAAGCGACATTGATATTGTATGATACAAGACACATGGCACATGTTAATAGCCATTGATTGACACCTCTGGCACGCAATAAATATTTTCATGAATTGGTACTCACATTTTTGCACATATTTTTCACCCATTTACATGTGTGATAGGCTGGTGTGTTTCTCCGGTGTAAGCGTGCGAGAGCGGTGAATTACGCGTTTCTCGTAGATGTAGGCGCTACATTTTGACGTTTCCCTTTAAAATCATTTATGTCGCGCCGTGCAATAAGTCGAGTTTACCGCACCCTGTGCATCGCGCAGCGTGCTCAAAACGCGACTTCTGCACTACTTGACATAAAATATTATAGAGCACTCGGTAATAAATTTCGTTTTCAACGAATGTGTGTACAGACCTCGCCTTCGGCTCGACCTGTAAACTACACATTCGTTGAAAACGAAATTTGTGCCCTTGTACTCTAATGTACTATAATTTTCGCGATAAATCGATAGTTTAACAAAAAAGTCGAAATGGACTCATCTCGATTTACCACTTCGCTACATGGAGTTCAAAATTCTCATTCAGTTGAATTGACCGCCACTGGGTCAGCGATCGCGTTTTTTTTTTCATAATGGGTAAATGCTGCCATCTTCAGATCTTAATAGGCTATAACAATCGAGGTCGATTGCGGATAAAAAGAAATAAATTTCTACTCAACCGACACTGCTTTGCCGATAAATATTCTGGTGGACAGCTATGATCATGCGCAGATTCATGGATTATGTGCAGGGCGATTTTATGTAGCTGTTTATGGACATGGATAGCTTTGCTAGAGATGCAAAATGACCGTCATTTTTTAGATCGCGTCATATGACCAAAAATGACGGTCATGTGACGCACAAATTTTCCAACTACACATGATTGTCACAAATCATTTGTAATCAAATTGTTGTCAAACCATCCTTATAGTTGCATAATGACGGTCATAACTAATTTCCAATTTGTGACGGCCATGAATAAAACAAAATAGTTTCATCTATATGAATGGAAAAAAAACGTGATTTCCATTTCAAAATGCTGATTAGGCCAATAGAAAAGGAATTCAACTGAAAATTGACCGAGAAAAAAATTAAGTTTCATCTATATAGATGAAAAATGACTGTCATTTTTTCTTGACAAATTGCGACGGTCACAGAAGGGCGAGGGAGCATGTGACAGCCGTCATGAACGCCTCGTCATGTGGCCGTCATTGACGGTCACATGACCGTCATATGACGCATTTGCATCTCTAAGCTTTGCTCGTGTAAAGTCGTACTGGGGAGATTGTAGCTTTCGGTTCCTATTCCCCCACCATTATGTTATATGGAACCCAAAGCCTAGAATCTCGTCAGTACCCCTGTAGTTGTGAAAGTATTCTGAATTCTGCCGAAGAAGTAACCTCGATTGGAGTGGTGGGGAGCACGATCATAAGTGTGGATTTGGGTGGAGTGGGAGTATACGGCTGAGGTTACTCCTTTGGCAGGAAGCACTTTACAAATAGAACTCCCACTCAAGTTTTAGGAGTTTCAGTGATTCAAACCTCTGTGATTGGTCCAAGAGTTTGACCCACGTGATGATATCAACATCTCGGCTGCGCCGACGTAGGAGAGTCCGAGCACCTCGGCGCATGATTGCCAAAATCGCTCAAAGGATATTTTTCCAGGTAAATGAACCAACAATAACTATTAATAAGGTAGAAAAACATTCGTTATTATTATCCGATTTTGACGGATCGTTTTAGTTCATAAATAAAGTGTACTGACACCGTGTCAACTATTCATTGTAGCCGAAAACTATCATAACCTCCAAACAAGCAGTATATAAACATGAAATGTAAAAAAACGAATAAATGAAAGAAAGTTAAAAACCTAAGGGGCTAGCAGGATGCTTTGGGAAGTTAACCAGCGCTAAGTGTGGTTACTAGTTGGAGCGAGGATCACGAGTAAATAACGATGATTGTAACTCTGGAAGTAAAAATGGAAACACAAATTAACAAATTTAAAAAGTGTTCAAATTTAATTGGAAATTGAAAGTGAGGATCGATCGGATTTTCACACTTCTTAGCAATTTCTGTTGTCATATCAAATTGAAATAGTAATTTCCATTCATTTTTCCAAACATTGATCAATATTTCTGTAACTGAATATATTGAAATTTCATATGGATTGGTATTTGTTGAAAATTTCAAGAATTTTTACTTGGGTTTTAAGGTGGGATTGTCTATTAATTGACTATTTTGGACACATAAAATTTTGGTCATTTTTCAAACACTCAGATATGGATTTTTTCTCAATTTTGCAAATCTAACGGATATTTAATATATATAAGGCCTACTCAATATATTCAGTCGATTTATCCTGGAATCGATATTTAAAATTGACCGAAACTTGTTTCTCGAGCATGTAGTACTCGACAATCTCAATTTTTGTATCTCTCGATTGATCGTTCTCATCTGAACACCAATCGAAATTGGAGGAGCTAAAATTTTTGTAACCGAAAAACTCCTCATTAGAATTGGAATAGTGTAAATTCCAAGTAATTTATCCACAAGATCAAATACACATAATGAATTATTACATAATGAATAACGAAAAATGATTAATGTACAATTTTTGTCAATACCTTTTCAGAATGAACACCTGCATTCAAAGATTATCAAGATACGTTCGGGTAGTCCCTATTATTAATCGTCCATTAAATTGCTGGACAGCAGCAATCACAAAGAAGCACCGAAAAATCTACGAGAGAACATATCCGACAATTCTAGTCCACCCGGACGGTAGTAGTACAAATATTCAGTACTATGAGCCGAGGAAAATCATTCAATTGCCCCTGGATATTTCCCTTTTATCTGAGGCAGAAAAAAAAGCAAGAATTGAACGAAGAAAGCCTAAAACTCAAGTTAAAATTGAAGAAGACATTGAAGACAGTTTTGACGCTTTAAAATACCTGAATATGAAAAAACGATAGTTTCAATGCATCCATATTTATTTCATGTATTATGTGTAAGGTAAATATAATGAATCATTTGAAACTGTTTCGTAATTTGTTGTCTCTTTATTGGTATGCGTGACGGAAACGAGACGAATTGTATCAAAGGGAATAGAGTGGAATACGGGAAATCTATTATGACAGATGAATAAAATGAACGCGTATGAAAAAAATTGAATGGGAAAAAAACTGTCTTTCCTCTTTCGTGATTGATTTTTATCGTTCAAAACAGGAAACTCAACAAATTAAATAATTATCTATTCGAGGAAGCGAAGAGATGTTGTCATCGAAATCAGATTACTCTACGAATGTATGCGCCAAAAAGAGTTTTTTTTTGCGCATATATCCCGTAAAACTGAAGTGAATGCAGTGAGTGACGTCTCATTTTTAAGGTCATTCTATGTTCTTTAATTTTTTTTTTGAAGGCCTTTTTGAGCCCCCTTTTCGGGTCTCATTTCGGCACTCTATCCAACCGTATGCATGCGGCTGTGGATCCTACACTGTACCGCATTATCGTACTCTCCTACAGGCGGTTACTCTATTAGCAACCTCCCGTTCGCCGAAACCTTCCGTTGAAAAATTCGGTTCCACGGAGAATCGAACTCACAACCTTTCTCACACTCGAATTGCATCTAGCCCACTCAGCCACCTACGTCGGTTATGTTCTTCAAGTGCCGTGAAGAAAAATTTGATAACTCTAAAGGGACCTAAAATATCAATGATAATAAGACAAAAAAATCATCGAACAGAATGCAAATTTTCAAAAAATCACAAATTTCTCAATTATTAATGTTGTTTTCATGCATTTTGTTTTCCAAATGTTCGTCTAATACTCAACTTCCATAAGAAAAAATTGGTAAAATACCTGACATTGAATAGTTTCGAATATTTTAGATATCTTTCAATGGCAGATGCATTACTGCAGAGATAAAAATTGAAAATTGTTGAATTAAAAATATTGGTCGAAATTGCTTTGAGTATGCAATTATTTCGAAACAGAAGGGTTTTATAAGAGAATATCAGGTAACATTTTTGGTAAATCATTCACTTTTCAATGAAAAATTTCTCCTGTTAATTTTTTAGAGATGTTGAATATAGCTAATTCTTTGTATCCCTAAAATATTGATAAAACAACTAGAAAATCCATATTTTCTACTCTTCTGTCCGTCCCCAATGTTTTGTTCCTCCCCCTTATGCGAAAGGACAGTAATCCTTGTGGTCGTGATCATCACATCGAAAAAGACTTTCACTCCGCAAGACATTTGGAATTATCTTGTCTCTTTGCATTCTTCTCGTGATATTTTTCCATCAACAATCTTATTTAGCGAATTCGATATTCTGTATTTTCTATCAAACTTAGAACCCATAACTTAGGTACGAGCGGAGTTATTAGTTATAATAGAACAATTCAGAATCAAGTCAACGTTGTTGACCAGCCAATTTGGGGAGAGAAAGTGAAGTGACATCCTTCGTTAATATTTTTTACAGCTATGTGATTCTGTTTTCAATTTCTCTTCGCGGTTCAACGATTTATTCTCCAACCAGTTAATCAAATATTATAGTTGAATATAAAAACGAATTTCCCGAAGAATTGCAAAAAAATGCATTATCAGTTTTCATAATTTATGAATCATTTTATCATGATTTAATGCTCGAAATAGTATAAAAGGAATGAGTTATGAGGTGATAAATAACACATTTATAGAGTATATTCTTGATATTAGATCATTGATGAACAATTATTATCCCGACACTTTCAGTACTCGGTGAAACTTGTATTACGAAATAAAATAACACAGGAAAAATTGTTGAGCCCACATTGGGCAACCCTGTGGCTTCAACTCGGCACGTGTTTAACCGAGAGAATGCATTATAAAAAATAGCCACAACTGGGGGTAATGGATTTTTCGCAGAAAAAGTATAATTGTAGTCTTTTTTTGTTCCCATCTGGCACCAATATTTAGGCCATGTCGCTGTGACTGATAAAGTCGAGACTTTTCAGTTCGGCCCTCGAGAAATTAGAGAACTTGTGTCAATTTGGAGAGAAACGCGGAAGTTGATTTATTTTTATGTGCAGGATGAAAATATTTCCACTGGAAAATAAGTGGATAATTGCCTTTTTTGTAAATAAGTACAGTATTGTCGCTAAGTTGATGCTTTGTTTTCGAAATTTTTTTTGTTCCTTCTTATCATTGTTTTCAAGCTATAAAACTATAATTATTTTTTTTTCCGTAGATTTTCCTCGTAAGCTAATATAAAGAATCATCCTGTTTCCCTCCTACCTACTTCAAAATCCTATACAATATCCTGTGACGTCACAGGAGTGGAACGGTGTATAAATTTCCGTCTTCACGGGATGTCATTATAATTTATTTTCCTATTCTTCCATTTTTTTTGCAATTATCCTGTATTCAAATCCTAAATCCGCATCTAAAACCAAATTCTGTTTCAGTTAGAAATTAATCAAGGCTTATTCATGCGTTCAACCCATGTTTAATCAGAATTCACTCAGTGTTTAACTGGTAATTGTACCTCATTTTAATCGGGTTTAATGAAGATTTAATTTTGATGTAAGCAAAATTGAGCTGGGATTTAGCTGGAGTTTAACCGGGGTTCAACCACGGTTTAATCGCGGTTTAACCGAAACCATGAATAAATATGTAAAAACCTTCAATATTATAGTATGATATAGGAGTGATAACTCGGTAAGCCATGATATTATTACCACCATCTTTCAATTTAATTGAGAACACATTGAAACAAATTTTTTTAACCGTAATTTAATTGATATTGCTTATTTTATCAGTAACCATGAAAAGAGATTTTTGAGAGAAAAAAAAAGCATAAACACTAGGCTGTAATTCAACTCCGGAAGTTGCGATTCCCATTCTATTCTGATAGAATCAAGAGCAATAAACATCAATTTTCTAAGCCCTGACAAAATTTGTTTCAATGATGATTTTTAAAATAATCACTGACAAATCAATTTTTTGCAAAATATGAAAATTTTTGAAACTTTGTGATAAATTGAATTTCAATTCGTGGCAATGGATCAAGCGTATTGAAGTTCATATTCAAGAAAAAAATTCTGAATTTCGATTGATTCCCTATAATAAAATATCGAAATGGCAATAAGGTATTTTTATCAGGCAATATAAAACTTTTTTGTACTTGTTAATATTCTCAATGAAGAATGGTTCATCTTCCTGAAACTCCTGATAATTCACAGAAACTGATGGCAAAGTGAAATTGATTTATCTCGTTTCTCCCTTCACTCACTAATTCATTATCACACAAACACAAAACAACGGATAACATTTGTTTTCAATGATTGATTCATTGAAGAAAAAAAAAATATGATTAAAAGTCGATATTAATCGATTTTATTTTAAAAAAAGGGAGAAATCGCTTTACGCCTCAAATTTTAATAGGCGAATTATTATTCATCCCTAAATGAGATAATGTGCTTTTCATGTACATTGTGTTCAAGTGATACTGAATGCTTGACGAAACATCCGGTGTTTGATTTTATAGGAACCACGCTGATGCACCGTTCACCAAGATAAACACCAACAAGCAGAGGCAAAAGATACAGGTAATGTCTCGATGCGGAGTTACGGTGGGAGTCAGTTCTGTTATAGTAGGCCACGAGGCAGCACTTACGTTCCAGGCTTTTTCATTACTCGCAACTCTCTCTTGAGCTTGGCAGGATTAAAAGACAAATCGATGTCTCTCAGTGTCAGTGTTCGGACGAACTAAATAAACAATTTTTCAATGATCTACATTTTACGACCTAAAATATATCTAAAGTCTATAGGATTTTCATTTCAATTGCAGAAAAAGTTACCAAAGTGATTTATAGTAGTTTTTACACAACGTTAGATTGAGTGGAACTTTTTTATGTGAAATTTTGTTTTGTCTACATGTTTAACTACATTAATGATAGTGGAATAATACTACTGGTGGGGAAAACTAGTGCGGAAATATTTTTCAAGAGAAAGTGCTGAAAATTTGAAATCTCATATTGTGATGAACTGACTGAACGTTTTTTAAATTGATTGATGTATAACGATTACTGTAGATTAAAATTTGTGTCAAAGATTGCAGTGGAGTTTATAACTAACGATGAATTGCCATTAACATTCAACCAGTAACGTTTGGGATTTGGAGGTGTTTTACTGTGAGATGAGCATCAACGTTTTTTTTATTATCTTGGCAATTTGTCGGATCAATTTTCTCGGTATGTAATTTTTGCATTATTAATTCTTATTTTGCAATCTGATTTTGAAGCAATTTTTTATTGAATCAATAGTCACTTCGAAAATGAGTGATTCTAAAAAGCACAAAAGCAAAGAATTTCCCGTGAAAAAAATGTCAGATAAAGTAAATATTTTCAGTAAATTTATTTATGCAAAAAAAATCCCGAAATTGCTCATGAACTGTGAGTTTAAAAAAATATTTGACGTATCATGTAACATGAATCATCTGTAATGGTAGCCAATTATTTAATCTGAATTTCATTTGCCTATAGGCACAGAGGTCATACTACTAATCGACGGACTCTCACATTTCCCACTCATTAGTCATTCTCTCCATTTCAGACGAAAAAATGCACTTCTTAGATTTTCTAAAATGAAATAGTACATAATTTGGGTTGTCGTTAACTCCTGAAAATGGGAGCAATCGGGCGGGCTTTAGGGAATGGTTCTCATGGCCTCCAAGGATATATAGTGAGCAGTGAAAGCGATCCTCGTTGCTTATTATGCTCACGTACTTCAAGATCACGTATAAGATGATGACAACAAACCGGTGATCAAACGCGAAAAATTGATTCAATTCTTTATTCATCATTAACTGCGTTTAAGTTTTGACAATATTTGTTGGAACATGTTCGAGATTTTGGCTGATTATCTTGTAGATTTTGGCAACACATCGATCGTCAAACACAAAAGAGTAGTATATTATAATTCTAGTGCGAGAAGTTGTATTTTTTCATTCACTAGGTGGGACGTACGCTTCGCGCGCACTAGTTACGTCCTATAAGATCGGTAGGCCAGCTCGTGTGTAGACTAAGACAAATAAGATTGAAAGAATAAAAAAATTGAGAAAGTCAATTAGCCTTCAAATGAAAGGATAAACGGTTTTTAACATAACATGATAACGAAGGCCGAATTGGTCAATAAAGTTCGAAAGGATTCCGAAAATTGAACGATTAAGGTGAAATGATTTCTTTCGTGTTACTCTTCTGTTATAATTTCACATTAACTGAGATATCTGAACATCTTAATTAATCAAGCGTCACTATATGAAGAAGGACAAAGAACTGGATTGAGTTCTTAAATGTTCCTGGCTTCCATCATAGAATGTGTCTTGCCAATTATCTTCAACAAAACTTGTACGCTACAGTCTGACCTAATCGTCGCCATGATCTCCCCTCGTAATTTGATCATCATGCCTCCTCTCAAATGCCTCCTCTCAACTGAATAATTTCGTCGCAATAAACCTCAAATCTGAACAACAATCACTGCGATGAAAAAATATCCAGCATGAATTCCATAAAAAAAGCATTTTCCTCCATGAAAAATTGATGATAAACTGATCGTATGACCGAGAATAAGCATTGTATATTTCCAATTAAATTAAACAATGTTTCACAATTTTCTTTCGATATAAGAAAGAAAATACGAAAATAAATTCTGTTCTTACCTTCATTAATATGCATGAGCAGGTATTCCGGTCCTGTTGAGGCCATTCCCACCTCATCGAGTAGCTAGACAATTAGGTCACTTGGTTTCGAAATTAAAAATCCAGTTTTCATCCACCAAATTTTAAAGTTGATATATCACGAAAAACACATTTCTTCGCTTATTTTTTGTTCTTGAAGAAGATGGAAATGGACTGAATCAGACCCTAACACGAGAGCCTCTCTGTAGTAAAGTTGATAATCATTACCAGCAAGTGGATAACGGTATTGTTTATAACTGAGTATAGTTATTGTTGCTGATGAATTAGCAGAATGTTTCCGACTGGGTTAAATTCCGATTCTCGTACATCGGCCCAAAGTATGGCGCCTGTTCCTTAACCGGTACCGCGCCGGTGGTCATAATCATCTCTGCCATTCGTTAATAGTTAACGAATCTCGTTTGAAATAAATGAATCATTCTATCAGTAAACCCGGGATGATAACATAGGACCAGGCTTGGGCGGAGCCATCGTTTTGCCAGTCCTAATTAATCATTGCTTAATTACATGCATATGACATGGATGATTGCAATATAGGTATAGTATATTGTGCACCAAGGGCGGAAAGTTATGTTTTCCCCGGCCGAGGTGCCCATACTATTTAACACGCCTGAAATGGGAGGAACGGAAGAAACAGACAGAATTTACGTATTTCCTGTCCATCTCATTGTTACTTTTTTCATCTCGTCTCCTCATTTCCGTTTTCATTGAGGAGAACAAGCCAGAAATGAGATGAAGAGAAAATACATGCCACAAAGGCTCTCCGGACTCTTTCATTCCCCGCGGAAAAATTTAAAATCGTTCAGCAGGGAATTGGTGCATGATTGAAGTATCCATTGATTTTCGCACCCATGTGAAAAATTACGATACCGTAACTTAAATTTTCTGAGTCGATTCCGTAATCGGTGAGCCAATTGTGAGTTCCGTAATTTTTACTGAATATTTCTCTCCGCGCGCCTGCAGGAGAGGCAAACAGAAAAATCTCGAGGGTCACAAGTAAGAGTCAGCCAAGAAGACAATCATAAATGATTATCCTATTTCTTCTAATTGATCTTTGTGATTGTCCTCCTCGCCCCTTTTGTTTTGAAGTCGTCTTGACCCGAATTTTGAATGCCAAAGTCAAGAGGTTAACATAATAGATATAATTACATTTAGAGTCGCAATTATGTCGGCTTTTGTATCACTTGTATACAAGATGACTTGGGAATCACTGAACAATGGTCGTTGTCATACTTCCCCTTTTTGTTGCGTAATTCCGGTAGCGCGACACTACTACAAAACCCCTGTCATTCGAGTCACTTATGATGATGTTGGTTAGAAAAAAACATTTGTAGAAAGATGCTTACAAGCGGAATAATTATTTCAGGTAAATTATTTGTGAGCTATCGCATCCTTTAAAGTTTAGAACGTGAAAGGCCTTTGTTACTTCCTCGTTTCACTTTTGGTCCATCGAAACTTTGACAATGGTGACAATTTGTTAATTTAATCCGTTCTTTTTTATAGAAAATGAGTGGTCGTCGGAGACAATGTCAAAGAGCTGTTTGTACTCAACAAAATTTCCGACAAAAAATGAGTTTTTCATAGTGTTAATTGTTTTATCAAAATATTAATGCTTGACAAAATGTAAAAAAATTACGTATGACGTTTTACTATCTTATTGTCAATTACAAAGATTCTGTATATTCTCTATTCTTTAATGATCTGCATGAAGCTTCGTTGGTAGAGCATTTTAGTATCTAGAATAAGGGATTGGAAAATTTTGACCTTTGATTTTAGTATAACTAACATAACTTTTCTACAGACGAAGATATTAATAATTAAAAAATCGATTAAATGAAATCCACACTATTAGAGATTGTTGTTTAGATTCTACCGCTATTCATCTGCATCATCATTTCTTGGACGGATTTTGAAGGAGTGACAGGTCGATGTACCCGCCAAGAATTTCTACGGTCTCTCAATTCCGTACTTTCTCCAACTCCTTTTTCTTTCATGCAATATCAAATTCAGTATAAAGTTAATTTCACAATTTAACAAAGTACGGGTACCCGAAAACTGTACTTCTACATAATTAATAAATATTATTCACTTCTGACAGCTTTTTATCCGACACTGCTCCCGCTTCTCTGTATTTCTCTCTCTCCGCCCTCCCCTCCGTCTATCAACATATGATGTTTATGATATTTTACAGTCAGTGTCAAAACTTGTTCTGGGCCGATACGCTACCGCGTATCCCTATCTATTCTCCCCCACCCCCCTAAAAAGGGAATCTTTGCAAATTTAACATGAGTTTATTAATATTCAGTGGTAATATCCAGAACCTTCAAAATTATCGGACATTAGACTTAGAACCAAATCTGGTCAAGCAGTATACAATATTCCGCAATTATTTCGTTGAAAAAAAAATGGAAATGTAAAGCTCGAAAGAAATATTCACTTAAATACTGATCTGAATGTACTTCATAAGTTTGAATACGGCGCGCTGATGGGCATAATCTAAACGCCGGACATAATCTGAATTATATAATATATCCATGGGTAAATACTGAATGTTCAAACCATCTCCCGGTTTGACTCATAAAAAACCAAGATTGCCATGACATAATCTGCTTCTGCAAAGTTGAATTGGAGGAAACCGATTATATACCAATTTTTCACAAACATCCGCTTTTCACATATGATTCTTTACAAAAAAAAGCAAAACCTGAAACCAATGGATTCATGTTTCGGAACGGAAATAAACGAGAACATGAGAAGAGAAAGATTGAAATATAAAGAAAGACCAGTGTCTGCTAGTCCATTAAACTTGACACCCAATAACCCGTCAAGCGTTTAAAGATCCTCCAAAGATAATTAGGAATTTTTTTTCGTCATCGTGTTAAGTATAAATAACGGATTTTCGAGTCTTTAACTCATATTGTTTTTAAACCAAAAAACTAAAATGAGTCGACGGAAATCATGGAAAGCAATCTTGCACTTTATAATACTATCAACTAGAAAAATCAATAATTCAGTGGAACACCATGGTTGCAGGGTTTTCAAGAAAACTTATTCATATTATAATAACTACTAATTGCAATCAATATGATTATTTTGCAGGAATCTTTTTTTTCTATTGTTGTTTTACATCACTTCGACCCGGTTAGGGTATACTGCGATGATGATCATCAAGACTTTAAATGGTTAGATCGCACCATTCTACCCGGCCGGGATTTGAACTCGGAACCTTTCGCATGTGAGGCAACGAACTTACCCACTGCGCCAAGTCACCGGGTTGCAGGAATTTTTGAAGAAAGGGTTCTAATATTTTTTTAGGAGGTATTTTACGGGGAATCCCAAGACCTAAAAATATTGAGGTCCGGTAGTTACTAAATTCGTTATTGTAACTGATGAACGTTATTTGAAACACATTATCAATTTGTAAAACCATTTTTTCATATTTCTTTCACAAGCATGCTTTTTTCAAGACATGGGTACACGCGGAAAAATGGTTTATTTGATTCTAATAGAGGATTTATTTCATTCAAATGAAGCTTATTTAATTCAAATAACCCATTTTTCTGGGTGTATTTGTCAACGATGGAAACAACATTTTTGAATTTACCACTACTTAACATTTTAATAGAAATGAAATTATAACGTTTGATAAGTTAATAGCAAACATACTGAACTAGAAAAGAACTAGAACTAACCAAACATTATGGAGTTCCCACGCGCTCCTTCACCATTCGCAATACAAATGCGAATAGTGTATGTAAGGTGGAAAAAGAGAGAACAAAAAGCATAAAAAATGGAGCAGTCTTTCTTGCAAAGACATCCCACATTAGAGATAAAGAAAAGAAAATTATATGGATACAGGAGTGTCTCGGTCTCAGAGTTCGGTGACCCTTGTGGGTCAACCGGTATCCATGTCATCTACTGGAATAAAGGAAACGGATAAGAAGGAAATGCTTACTGTCCATGTTCCATGAATTGTTTCTTTTTTCAGGCATTTTTTTCAGTAACATTTAACCACCGTCTAATATAATAAATGTGAAGATTTACCAACACATCAATTAGTGGCGGCAAGCGTTACGACACAGGCGCGTCGATTTTTCAAGGTTGAAAAGAAATGAAAGCCGATAGGTATTACAAACACATATTTTTTTGACAGTTCAGAAATATACACTCTTCTCTTCTCTCAAGGCGAATGTGCGGGGGACGCTCGGTCTTGGGGTTTTGCTCGATCGAGCTGTCGTCGAATCCCGCTGCTGTAGAGATGTTCATGAGATCATCCTGGGTAAATGAGAATGTCGTAGGATAGGCGTCCTTAGATGTTTTGCGCGCCTTTTTGGCGCTGCTTGGGTTGCTGGCAGTGGATGATTTATCGGGAGTCTTTTGAACTGCCTATAGGCGGTCTTTCGACCGTTTAAACGGCCGTTTATTATTTCTCTTTGGACCCATATTGATATGGGCGAGGTTTATCAGTCACTCAGATGTTGTGAGGACTATCGGCACTATTTTTTATCAGGAACACAATATACGACACAGGATTGTCACACAGGGGCCGGATAGCACGGCGTGTGCCGGAGCGATCCGCTCCGTGCGATGGCGGGCGTCGGTCTGTGTTTGTATGTGACTAAATTTTGTAGTACGATTTCTCTCAAACAAATGATGGGATTCAATTTTTCGCGCACCCGATTCGCGCAATCGATGTGTTTTCATGAAACTTAGAACTGATTAGATTCTGAACAACATCGCCTCAGGGGTTCTTTAGATTTTCCAATAAAACTTGTGGAGAAACGACGAAAAATGACTTTTTTTAGAAATTTGATGATTCCTCTCAGAAAAACGAAATTGATTTCTTGTCATCATAATTGATGCAACTTTGTATGTTTAAAACGGGAGTGACATTCCAGCAAAATCGTCTCAGTGGTGTCGGAGTAATTCAACCATGAATTTTTGAAATTTGATACTTTTGGTATTGTATGGTAAAAAGGTTTGATTGCCATGGTTCCAGTGGAGTTTGGTATGACAAAGTGATAGCTACGCGTTCCTGGTAAAGGCCAGTAAAGAGAATTAGAATTTGGAAAGAAAAAAAAATCCCGCATCGCCTAAACGGGATTCGAACCCGGGTCTCCCATTTTCGCGACGGGCACTTTCCCAACTAATCTACCGGGAACTACAGACTCCCGTGATTCGAAGAAGTGATTGTTTTTCGGTTTCAATAATTTCTTCTTCAGTTGCGAAAATTGTACGAATGTTGGGGAGGCTTATTTGGGCCCAATCATAAGGATGAGGATCAGAACCGTCAAGATCTGATTCGCGTAGGGACATTGGAGACTATCTCGTGCTGCTGAACTATTTGAAACATCTGAAATAACAGAAATGATGTGATTTCAAGTTATGAAGTAACTTTGTGAAATTGTAAATGAATCAGTTGAATCAATGAAATAAGTGAAAGCGACAAATTGAAAATGAATAGGAGGCAAAGATCTGTTACGCAATAAATGAAACGTGACGATCCAAAATTTGAATAATCTCCAGTAGGCAATGTTTTAAAAAACATCGATTAGTTGAAAAATCGATATTCTTTCTCAATGTGTTTTTTTTCGTCTCATTTTTATTTGAAAATATATATTAAATATATTAATATATATTAAATATATATCACTCGAAGAACTTACGTTTTAATGATAAGTATCTTGAAAGAGGATTGTTGTTTAATTAAGAAAAATATATTGAAGATTTTTTGCGGTAGTACCTTAGCTGCAATAATTTTTAAAAAATTGAAAAATTTAAATTTAAAAAACAATAGATGACTGAACTTGTCCACTTACCATTTGTAACGTACATACCGTAGAGAATAACTACTTTCAATTGCGGATAAATCATTACTTTTTTTATTCTCAATCAATCAGCAGTATTATTCGACAAAGAAAATGAAAAATTTTGTTAGCTTGGTCAAAAACATCGATGTTTGGAAAAAAGAATAGAAAATCGATTAATCTGCCGTTGAAAACATCGATGATTAGGCATGAAAAATCTATTTTTTCGAGTAATCAACAAACATCGCCCATTCTTAATCTCTAATGACGTGTTCTGTTCTGCACAACTATTCAAATGTAAAATTACTCAGATAACGACGGATTCTCTGAACAAATGACAGGATATATTTCCTGGTGAACATTTCATCCATTAGAATGCATAGTTCATGGATGCAACTGCTAAATAAATAGAAATTTCATATTTGGCTAAAAGCTCCCTGTAGATGGCTATTCCAAACACGTAACTATGGTTCTACGGTTCAGAATTGATTATTCAATTCAAGAATTTTTGCTTAAAAAAAGACAATGAAAAATACCTCAAACTGAGAGAGGTCATTTTGCCCTCTTCCTCCCATAAGGGTTTTTCTTTACTTATTGAAAAAGAAAAATTCAAAGCATTTTTCTATTAAATTACATTTTGCTCCTCGATTATGCTGGACAGTGACATTTTCCGTGATTTTCTGGACAATTTTTCCTCAACTCTTCCCTCCTTGTATATACGAACTTGTGAATAACAAATCTTATGTAGACCTCTTGAATAATAAAGCATAACACAATGAACAGTTGAATGACGAAATGCCCCTGATTTTTTTACAACCAAACGTAAACCCATCAAGGTAAAAAAAAGTACATTCTCTCGAGTGGTGTACCGTTGAATCTACCGAACATCGGACGTTCCATTGTCCAACTACCGTTATCCGTCTTACCTAATTTACTCTCCAGACACCATGGTATCTGTCTCCACTGCCGAGTCAATAAAAAGCAAAATCCGCAGGCCCCTACACTTATTAATCTTCTCAATCACATTAACATTCCCTATTAATTTCTCACTAATTTTGTCTATTCCAAGGTGATCCTGTTGGGGCTGAAAGATGGCCAAGAGCGCTGGACGAGACGTTGGACGAGCGCAACGATGCTGAAATATTTCAAGCGGTCGTTGAGTCGATGAGACAATGGGAATTGCACAAAAAGATTTCCCACAGAGCAAAGAGAGACACTTCAAGGGTCTGCTATGAAGATGTCGGGTGCTTTGAGGACACTGGGCCTTTCAGTTACCTGGAGATGTTACCATCACCTCCAAAAGATGTCGGAACAAGGTAAATGGAATCTAAAATTACAATTTCCACTCAATTTCTTCTTCATAATTTATTTCTTCAGAAATTTATAATTTTCAATCGGTTTGATTGCAGATTTTTTGTCTATGGGAGTCGAAAGGCGAGATCAGTCCCTATGGAAGTAGCTGCAGATGACATCAATGAAAAAGCGAACAATGCAATTGACCCAGAGTTGCCAACCAAAGTCATTGTTCATGGTTTTGGATCAGGCTGTGATCACATCTGGGTTTACGAGATGAGATCTGCTTTGATATCTGTCCATGATTGCAATATTGGTGCGTAGTATACTAGTCATTAAATGACGTTGAATTATAAGTTTTTCACTGAACCCAAGAAATGATAATGGTTTTTTTTTGTACTGGTAAAAAGATTATGAGATTGGATGATTTCCATTATATTTGCGGAAGAGGGAAGTACAGGTTTTACCTCTTTGGGGGAGGAATTCCTCACAAATCGGTAAAGTCCGAGTGTCCAGCTTCTCTCCTTTATAAGTGTTTGACCCTTAAGGTCTCCAGTTTGAATCTTATACGGACCTTATGATCGTTTGACCGTTGGGATCTGTTTACTCCTTATTGCTGCGTGATTCATTCGACCCCTTTGATCATTCGACCTTTTATAAAAGCCTCCAACCCTTAAAAGGAGTTTTGCTATTACCCCTATTTGACCCTCGTAACCCTCGTGAGTGTTTGGCCCATTAGATTATTACCAATATTGGATGCCATGGATTTTCATTTTCTTTGCTTCTTGCTTGCGAATGGAAGCTACGTAATTGTGTTTTCTTGTGGGTATATTCCATTAATTTTTGTGAAATTTCGTACATCCCAGAAAACAATTTATGCCAGTGCCATCTAAAATTTAACAGGACATCGGCAATTTGTCGACATACTGTTTGCTGGGATGCCAAGCTAACGATAATCGAAATAGTGTGAAAAATGATGGTGCTAACGAAAAGAGAAAATTGTCACTGAAATATTGATTTAGTGACAATTAACAATGTAAAGAACGTCAAGATCTGTGATACTCCTGGTCCTATTTATACAATCGCGAAATTACCAGAGAATTTTCTAAAATCATTCTTTGATATTTTTGGTTCTATCATGTTCTATTCTGTTGTCTAGTTTGTGTGGATTGGAGCCCAGGCAGTGTCCTTCCGAATTATGTACGAGCAGCAGCAAATACTCGTCTCGTAGGAAGACAACTGGCAAAGTTGATAAAAGGACTCAATGTCTCTCTTGATAAAGTTCACTTCATTGGATTCAGTCTGGGCGCTCATGTCGCTGGATTCGCTGGAGCAGAGCTTGGGAATGTATCAAGAATCACAGGTATTCTATTCTCTTAGTTGAATGAAGAAAAATTATGGGGAATGTATAAACTCGTTCATGATACTTATATTATTTTTTTTCCTCGACTTTCATGCGCAACGAAACAAGGTCGTTTACTTGGCTTGACTTGAATGTCTTTGAATATCTTTTTAATTCACTATCATTTCCTTTCGAGCAATGCTGATAATAATGCGAGTCATTATTATCAGTGAATGTAGAAAATCAACTGAAGAAATTAGAGATGTTTCCGCGTACTGCTAAATACCCGAAAAAAACATTGAACTTATTCTCTTGACAGTCTTCGAAGTCACCGATTATCCAACTATCTGTGAAAATTTAAACCGCACCTTAACAGAAAAAAAACATGTTTTGCTATAAGTTTTATATAATTTTTGGTATTAGGCCCGATCAACAGCGATTCTGACCTTGCTTCTTTGTTGATTTTATACCTGTTTTTAGCGATTCGAAATGACTAGACTTCCAGTATTGTCAAATATTAACTAGTGGAATGATTAAAAAACGTCGGGTAACTGTGCATGAAAGTAAATTCACGTGAAACCTTCGACGTCTAACAATAAAAGCTGATGTATCTACGGAAAGTTTTTTGTTAACTCTCGATTTTCTCTTTAAGCGGTGACAGTATTCCTTGTGTGTATTGAATTTTGGAATCATCCTTGTATCCATAGTTGTTAACTTTTGGAAACCAAGAAACTTCAATCACTCCATGGCTATATTGTTATAATACGAATAATAATAATAGTAATAATAAAATATAATAATTATAAAACTGAAAAATCAATTATTTGAAATGATAATAATTCTTTTCAGTAAAAATATAATAATAGTAATAATAATAAGGATTATTGTTATGATGATTGTTATAATAGTAATATAATAATAATGTGTAGTGCTTAAATTTTTTTGATTTCTGAAAAGACACGAGGACGATTTTAAAATTCAGCCCATGGAAGGAGTACCGTGATCTCTTAACAAAAGTTTCCCTGAAAAATATTTAATGCATCTTTAGATACAATGATATGTTCATTCTAAACTACAAACCTCATTGACTAGAGTTCCAATGAACTAGAGTGTCCGGTCAGATTGGTGGAATTAGCTCCAAACCCGAACGAAATGAAACTTTTACATCAATCCCCTTAGTTAAAATAGATTCATTAGAAACTCACTATACAAGTTTACAATTGACTCATCGATCCGATATGTTTCTTTAATAACGAAAAAACTACCTTCCTCCCTCCTGGTTGGGAAGTTAAAAATCCTTAATTAATCCTAAAATTTAATGAAAATGAAATTGTGAAATCTCAATCTTCACTGAGTTCACGTTGATTCAATTTCGCGCATCGATTCTTTTTTTTATTTTTCAATATTCTACTTTCAAACTTTCTACCGAGAAATAAACATGATAAAATGTGAAAAATAAATACATCTCATGTTGACAGGTGAAACGTTTTGTGAGGAATTTGACCTTGAATGTGTGCCCCACAGGTCTCGACCCTGCAGGCCCCCTCTTCGAGTCCCAGGATCCTCGAGCAAGATTGGATGAGACAGACGCTAATTTTGTAGACGTCATTCACAGCAACGGGGAGCAGTTAATCTTAGGGGGGTTGGGCTCCTGGCAGCCTATGGGAGACGTTGATTTTTATCCCAATGGAGGAAGAATGCAGATCGGATGTTCGAATCTCTTCGTTGGTGCTGTGTCTGACATAATTTGGAGTAAGAAACTATTCTGGCGAATTATTTAGTTTAGATGAGAATGGAAAAAAATTAAAATCCAGGCAAGAGTCTCGGCGACCCACTTTCATTCCAATGAAATGAATTGGTTTTCCATTAGCTCGTGTAGGAGTCTGTGGTGCTTTCTAATCGAATCATGTTTCATGTTTTTTAGTAATAGTACAGGAAACAAAATTATCAAAGAATCAACAAAAGCCAATCATCTGAATATTTCAGAATAAAGTAAAAATCAGTCATGAAGTCGTAAAATCTTGCTAATAATGTGCAGATTGGGCACTAAATGTTGAAAAATGTTCGTCACATCGCATTTACTTAGGTACAAAGACGATTCCTCGATATTTTTTCATAGCATTAGCAGGGAATTGACAGTTGAATGGAATTTCAATTGAAGAAAGGATTCGGGCTGAGAACCAAAACGATTGCTAAAACTCCTTAGATTAGTTTTCTTTTTCACCCTTCACGTATGGGGCCAATTATTACTGAGTCCAATGTGGGCTTACATGACTGGGATTGAATACTTTCTGGATGAAAAATTATAAAACCGCATATTGAGAAAACGACACCTAAAGCTTTAAAAGAGAATTATCGGGAAAGGGAGAGTTGTGAACAATTCATTGAAAGAGCTTTTTGTAACCGAAAAATTTCCATCATAATAAGTTCACCTGAAATTTATTCTTACAATTATTTATTCCCTGGAAATTCATTCAATTAACGAAAAGTTCGTATTTGAACCGCAGTTTTGTCTATTTTCGAAGAATATTCATAACGGATGTCTGGATAAATCATCAAGAAACTCTTACTGGGGAAACAAATTTCGTGTTCAAAACTCAATGCTCCCAAAATATATTTGCATAACCATCTTCATGAAATTTTAAACCAAATGCTTCTGAGCCCTTCGCTGCAGAAATACCCTGCATTTAATAATATGTTAACTGTTGATCGATTAATATTCATTTCTTTCAGGTGGATCAATCGAGGGTCGATCACTCTGCAATCATCGCAGAGCCTACAAGCTCTTCACCGACTCCATCAGTCCAAAATGTCGTTTTCCAGCATTTCCGTGTGAAAAGGGCTACGACGGTCTGCTTCAAGGTGACTGTTTCCCCTGCGGACAGGACAGACCGTGTGGAGACATGGGCTATTACTCGGACTCTTCCAATGCACGTGGACAATTGTATCTTGTAACCAGAGAGGAAGAACCATTCTGTGCCCACCAGTATCAAATAAAAGTTTACAATAGTCGCAGTGAGAGACCAACAAGGAGTTATGGTAAACTACAGGTAACACTTGTTGGTGCCGGTGGCTTTAACGAGACTTTCACCATGACAAAAAAGGATGATGAGGAACTGGTTGTTGGGGCTATACTTCATAAAATTGTCGTGCCTCATCCAGTTGTTATTAACTTAGAAGCTATTGAGGTAAATAAATTCATCAATTCCATTTGATTAACTTAGCAATTAATCAATGATAATTCGAATTCTCTTTTATCAATTTTGATGGTTTCTTTTCAATGACAAAAATTCACCAACAATAGCAATAAATGATTCTTTTTTCTCCACTTATTAATTTCTTTTAAAAAGGAAGTGCTATTGATTTGCTCTGATAAGGAATTCTGTGAATTAAAAGTTGCAGAAGTTCTACAAAATTACTGTTCATAAGTTACAGTTAGTTTATAGGTGACAATCGCTCACCAACGGGAAAATTACCGAACGACTGGAAATTAGGGAGTTTTTGCAAATCGGAAACAGATGGTAGCAGGGCATTACCCTCTCAATTTGTCACAGGCATTGAACAAAGATAGTTCTAGTTATCCTTACCTGATCTATTGAAAAGTCGGTGGCCACCTGGCGCCATTAGTTCGTGAATTGACCGAAAACCTTTCTAATCATCGCATGTAATACCACAAGAGCGTCTAAATAATCGGGGAATTCCCGAAAGGTTGACTTGTATGGGGGAAACCTTGAGGGAAATACCGGATTAAGTTGGAGGCTTGAGTGGCATTAGGAAGAGAATTTTTCCCTCCAAATTTCGGTCAAGAGAATTGCTCATTCGACAAGGAAATCTTTCGTTTTTTCATATATATATATATCAGCATGCAAAATTACCAGTGGATAACAGTCGAATAGTAGAGTTCTATTCGCTGAATCCATGGGGTGGGAAAAATTAATTATATAATTCTCTTATGATTGGTCTACGGGACGTCGAATAATTCAATTCTATTATTCGGAAGGGTGATGGGGCAAATAATCATAATTCTTTCTACTGAATTATTTTTTACTCTCCTGTTTCTTCCTGTTCGTACGAGTTAATTTATTCTTCTCTTGAATAACGAGAGAAAATTGATTATGTAGAGTGGACTAAAATTCTATCAAAATTGGCAACCCAATCAACTCTTCGCAATCCTTTTTTGGAAATGTCACTGCCGTAAATAATAAAACAAGTTTGCGAAAGTGAAATCTGAATTTTTCAATGTCTCCAGTGTCAGCAGAGAAAAAGGGTTCAATTATACCATTTGAGACTGGAAATTGTCCCCAACTTTCCACTCGTGTATTTAGCTTCGGTGACTAACTTGTCTTTCCATGTAATTATGAAGAAAAATCGATGGTGATTGTTTGAAGCTGAAAAATTGAATTATCTGAGAAAGAACAAGTGAACGGTGATTCACGAGCGTAGTATTGGAAAGTCGTGGCTATTTCCGGTTCCATTCACGGCACTATAGTCCATTTTTCCCCGTTAACACAACAAAACTAGTAAAAACAGATCTGACAAATTATTTTTGCCGTAAAATGGGAGAAGACGGGTCAAAGCTATTTAATTATGTGAGCCAATTTCAGTTGTTTAATTTAAATAATATTGCTCCTAGGTGAAATACACTGCCTACAGTGGATGGATATCATCTGGTCTCGTCTCCTGGAGCATCGATAAAGTCTCGATCTTTGACAGCTTCGGAAAGAGCCTGTCAATTTGTCGCAAGGGGCTAATTCTTGAATCAGGGCATCCAGTACATTTTCCTCTGTACTCAGGAGAGTGCAATATTCCTGAAGAATCCGCTATTTCCTCTGGCGATTCAACTTCAAACATTACAACTTCATCTTCAAATGCAGTGAAAGATTCAGAAGATTCTGAAAAAAGTAACGCAGTAACAAAAACTACTGGAATAGGTAAAATAAAATAATGGGAAAAACTACTGGCTCAATTATGAACGAGCTATATTTTACGAGTATTGTAACATTTGGAAATATTTCCACGTCGATTTTGCTCGATTGATGATTTTCCAATGAAACTAAAATAGGAAAACGTTGAAATAGTCAACGTTGAATGACGAGTCTCACGGTGAAACACTTCTGCAGCTTCTGGGAAGATGCTTCTCGACTGTCGAAGTCATTCTCAGTGACAATAACGAAATCTTTCTGCTTCAGTAATGAAAAGTAAAGGACATGAGAACGCTCATTAGAACTAGTAGTCTTAACACTCTTGAATAGCGCAGGGTAGGGAAATTGTTCGACGTGTACAGATATTCCAAATATGTTTCTGAAGATACCGATCACACAGTCCGATAAAGGAGGTTAAAACGACTGTGAAAACCTCCGTGAACTGAATTTTGACGGCAATTGCATAAAACGCCTGGCAAACTATGTGTGAATTTTCAGTCTCCCCAACCACTTGATAAAGGTGCAAAAAAGTGAAAAATCACCCCTAAAAACGGATTTTCGCAGAGTCTGCGTGTCATTCGCACAGCCTGCGGATAACATGCAAAATCTGCGTATAAAGGAGATTCTACAATGAAGTGCAACGCAGGATTAACGCGACGCGTGCAATTGTTTGAATCAACGATTCAACTGTTTTTCGATCATTTTGACAATTACAAGCGTTGCGTCAAGCCTGCGTTGCGCTTCATTGTGAAATTTCCACGGTCTTTTTGTAAATGGTTCGCTCACCCCCGTAAACTTTAACCACTGTTACATTTCATGGAACGAAATAGTGTTCAAAAATCAATCTCTACATAGCTCGACACATTTTAGTGTCACGATATAAAATTTAAGAGACTGAATTCTTTAAATACTGTCTACGTTACGTGGTAACCGCCATGCGGCATCACGTAACAGACAGTTTATGAATGCTTTGAACGAAACATAGAACAAATGACAAAGAGAAAATGCGTTCGAAGTGGTCCAGTCTACTGGTCCTTATTTTTTCAGAAGTTAGTCTCCAACAGCCAGAGGTAGAGTAAAAATCGAGATGCGTCTTCTACGTACAACTGAATAAAGAGTCACAATTATATTAAATTCAACAAGGTATTATTCCAGTTCTACCCATAATTACAAAAATCAAATCCATCAATATAGCTATCGCAATCATCTTTCAACTTCGACTTCATTAAAACAAACATTTTAAGCTATGATTGATTTCACGTGAAGCATGATGGTGAACAATCGAAGAAAAATTTGTTTATATACGCACGCATATACATACGTACGAACATGGTCTAAAAATTGCGTTTTCAGACTTTTTGGATCATAATGGTTCGATATAACACGAAGAATCCAAAACTTAATTTTGAACGATTACAATGCTTCCCTTCGGAAGCAAAAATCACCAAAATCGGTCGACAATTGACTAAAGCAAACAAACCCGATTTTTAATACCCCACTGACTGGACTACGATCGGGAAGAAAAATTGTAGAATTTCTTACGGAAGAAATCTTTTGATATTTCTACGATTCTCATTCACTCATCTTATCTGTTGTTTTTTTAGGTCCCTTCACGAAAGACCAAAATTTTCAATCCAACTTTGACAGAAAGGATACCTACACGGTGGATCTCCCCATAGATCGAACAAGTTCTTCCAAGAACATTGGACCTTTTACGAAGGATCAAAACCTCCGGATCTTTGAGAAAACCCTTCCAAATCCTCCAGAAGAGCCCAAACAGACCATTTGGACTTTCATAGATCTCAACGAGACAGGAAACTCATTGGATAACCTTGAAACTGAGTCAGGTCGAGGCTTCTCCAGCTTAGCCTACATTCCCACAGCTTCCAAAACCTCTAATTATCCTCAGAACACCGTACCACCACCTCAAAATACCAAATTCCATTCAGAAATCCAAGAGCCAGTACTTCAGGTCAAGAAAAAGGAAACAGGAAGGTCGATGCGACTTCCTGAGATCACGGAGCCTATTTTAAGACCTAGAACCACGAGACAAAACCAAGAGGCTAATTCCGAAGACCTTGATGAAAGACAAGTATCTGGAGAGAAAGAGCGTGACGAGTTTACGGGGTTTACAGTACAGTTTTTACCAGAAAGATTAGCGGGAATCTTGGCTCAGGCTGAGAGGTACGCTCGACAGACTCTTCTTCCTCTGATTTCTCAATATACACCTTCTTTCATCAATAACTCTCGAAGGGAACGTTTGAAGTACTTCCCTCCGCTATCAGAAATATCCGAGGATGATGATAAAATCAATAAACCAATGGAGGTCACCAGTAAAGATGTGGGAAACAATTCGCCTGCTCGAGAGGGTGAAAGTAGAGTCAGCGAAGACATTTCAGGGGATAAGGGGGAAGATTGGATTCCAATTTCACTTTCAGGACCTCAAAGTAATGGAGATGAGAAGAATGACAGCAGTTTCAGGAGCTCTGATAATTCCAATGGAAAATGGATTAATAGAGAAGGAAAAGAATTAATTACAGGTCAACGGAATGAAAACGGTGACAGTAAACGCGAGTCAGCTTTTGAAAATATTCCTTCCAAAAATAGCGGAGGTGTTGGAGATGGAGATAATAATAGACAAATTAATGATAATAATAATGATTGGGTACCCATTATTGATAAAGTAAAGATCCAGAGTTCGATTTTGGATTCCCCAAATGTGGTAAATTTCTCCTCAGTTGAAAGTGTGAATTCTGATAAAGAGAAAGATGGGCGTAAATTTATTCCGTTGGTTGATTTGCAACGCCCAAATGCGAACTTGGCTTCCAAAGGGAATGAAGATAGTACGGAAGTTATTTCAACTACTGAAGAAATTCTGTCACACATTCACAAAGTTGAGGAGGACAAGGGGGAAATGAGAAGTGGTTTCAGAAGTTTGGCAATGAAATCGTTGGCTTTTCCTTATGCGTATGAGAGGAAGACGGATCCCAGGACAAGGTATATTCCACTGGTTCCTGAGGAGGATATGGGAAGGAAAATGAGTATACATGAAAGAGAAGAGCGATGATTTTATTATAGTCCCAAAATTAAGTTTCGGGTGAAGACAGATGATTTCACCAATGTTGTACAGATTGTTTTGGGCATATCAAACCACTTAGGATGTTTAGAGAAAGATGTAAAAAAACTTGCCTTTGTGGAAAACTGAATACCTAATCTACGAAAAAGTGACTTTATGAAGTCTCCTCACATCGCTCATTGCTAACATCATTGAACAATCAACAATCCAAAATTTGTATGAAATTTACCATTTTTATTCATGTCATCAACCTAGTAATGAGCCATTTTACGAGAAAATGCCAAGAAACATCTAACATTACTGAGAAAATCACTTATCGTCATAATGATTCAACAATCAATGATTGAAAATTTTGATCCAATATGAAATCTCAATTAAGGATGTTAGGGCAAGGTTGTTCGCTCTAAAAATTAAAATTGGACGATTGATTTAAATCGCATTTTACGACTAAGGAGTTAATTAAGAAGTTAAAGCCACAACAAAATGTTCCGTTTTGTTAATACCAACTCTAATTAATTAAACCCTCAATGTATCATCTTCCAAACATTATTTACCCTCTTATTCCATTCTATTTTTTTCTGAACATCTCCTTGGTGCATTAGAAACAATCCTTTGATACACTGCAAAGGGGCCATAAAATTACACTTTCATCACATAGAAACACTATGATTTGCCATGAGAATAAATGAGAGTTAAATTTTTGAAAACTTGAAAACCGCACTAATTGTACCAAAAAGATTTTTTCGATTGACACACCAAATGATCCTTCCAAGTGTGCCCAGGGAATTTGCCAAAGAAAATAAAAAATTTAGATAACGTTCAATGACTGTGCTTCCAGGCCTAAATAAAAAAAATTTCCAGAATTTTTTACATTCAAGTGGATACACGTGGAGAGATGACCAGTTGAAAATTACCTTCATGGTGTCTCCACTATCAGTATATCTATTTGGAGAAATGTTCAATGATACACCTTGAAGAGTATTAAATATGGCGGGTATGTGAAAAAGGGCAAGAACCAATTTTCAACTTGAGAAAAGTTTTACGTGAGTACTTGTCGACGCATTGAGCAAAACGAAATAATTAAAAATTGAAATACGATATTTTCTAAAATTCATTCCTGGAACTTTTGATACGCCCGTTTTTTCAAGGAGATATACTGGTAGCAGATAATTTAAATACATTTTTTGCAATACCTGCCTGATAAGTTTACTTTTTAGGAGGATTTACGTGAGAGTTTAGGGTGACGCCCGTCACTAGTTAGAGGTAAAGAAATTGATAAATTCAAAGAGAATTAGAATTTAAAGAGAAAAAATTGCGCAGCGCCCCGCCGGGGTACGACTGACGCCGGGTAAGCTACCAGGAATCACGGAATTCTCTCTCCACATTCGATCATAATACCGCCTTAGCCACCTTTAGGCATTAAATGACTAGTGACGCCCGTGTTTACCGCTCAGCAATTTTTTGCGAGTAGTGTTCCTTAGCATTCACCCATTCGAGAACTAACTGTGCTCATCGTTAAACTTGCTCACCGGAGCAACACCTTACTGACTCAACCATTAGTGAGTTCCGAACTGTCGGTTCGGAACTAATCCCCTCAAGAAAAATATCGTTTACAAATTTCAAGCTTTTCTCTGTGGATCTGTAGTAAACTAGCATTTGACCGTAAAAGTTTAAGGAGAATTTTAAAAATCATAGTTGTATTATGTTGTAAATACTACTCTTCACTCATTCAAATTCAGAACTTCATTAAACGCGCTATTATTTCGGTGCGTGATTTCCCGTATTGTCTAAAATTTTTGCAAAAAAAAATCTAATAAGTTTCTTTGAACCTTTTCTTTTCGAAGGTTCTCTTCAAACCCTGGAAATCTTTCCATGACTATTTTTTCAACACTTAATTACTCATTATCAAATGAGGCAACTTATTTTTCAAGTGTAATCCAGGGTCATCATTCAGTTATTGGAAACTGATAAAAATCTGGAATAAGATTGACTCGACATGCCGTAACTGACTCAGAAATTTTTCAATTTCTGTAAATAGTTGCCCATCAATTTGTTTTTTGATGTATAATTAACTAATGTAAAACCAATAATAATGAATGATAATTAATATAAAACATCCACTCAATTAATTTATGAATTATTTTATGCATTATGCTAAAAATTGCAATTGTTACTCTTTTTCGTATTTATTGTTTTTACATGGAGACCAAGAAAATTACAACGACAATAATCCATGTGTATTACGTTTTTCGTCACTTCGTTTATTGATATTAAGTAATTATACATATATATAATATATACAGTTTTATTAATACGATTAGTGAGACAATAGCTCTCGTATCCATGAACAATAGTCAAACTTGTATGGAAGAAATGATTCGTTTTATGTAGAATATGACAATAATGCCTGTTTCTTTATTTTTATACATTTTTTTTCCTCTTACCTTTTCCTTCATTTTCTTAAAATAACTTTTTTTTCCATTTTCGCCGTCAAAAAAGTGTCCTTGATGACAATTCAGTTATTATTTATTTTTCTCACTCTAATTGTGTATCTATATTTTTCAAGATTTTCTTGTCATTTCATTAATTTATTTCTCCCCTTTTTTCCTAAGGTTTCCATTTTTTGTCTCAAACTCTCATTTTCAGTCAATGGTGCGGAGATATGCCCACTCATGATATGTCCCCTCGAATAATTCACTTCACTTGCAGTCCAATTAATAATTTCGATTTTTTTTCATTGCATATTGCAAACACAAATTCAGCAATAAAGTGGTAAAATATAGCAGAACACCTCGATCATTCACATGATGTTAATATCATACCTTTATCCATTATACCTTTCAGTAGCGAGCGATTTTCCAAGAAATGTCAAGAAAAATTGTTGTTTGTGAATGTACACATATGCTCACTGCTGAAAAAATCTTCCCATATTCATGGGTATTGAATTCACCAAAAAGGATCGGAATTTATATTCTCATTGACTTCCGGATGAGTATCGCGTTAGTTGTCAGCATTCCGTTCTCAGGTGCCCTCGTCGCAAATAGAACGAGGGGGATCAGCGCCCATCGGAGTGTTCAATTGATTGTCCAATCAATTAACAACTTTTTGTAAAAAAAAAATTAAAATCTCCGATCGGCTGACTCCCCCCTTCCCCGCTCCCCCCCACACGCACACAAGAAAAAGCATACGGCACATAATAACAACGGCCATCTGTCAAAGCTCAGAATCCGAAATCACAGACCTGAAAATGCAGACTGCAGTGTTGAAGCCAAACACGGTGTCTGTTCAAAAGATAATAATAATTATTGGCCGTGAAAGCCTCAAACTAAAGTTTAAAATTGTTGGAAATTAGCTCAACATGGAAATTAGTTAAACATTTTATCATACCAAATCCACTTATTATATTAATTCTTCAATAAATTAATGAATTTCCTCAGGTATCTTGACAATTTATCTTGGCAACTCGAATAAACTCCCCTAGCCACCTCTGGTTGCAGAGAAAATATTTCACGGCGAAAACATTTGATTTCAATGTAATCAAACGTCGAAGCATTTTTTTTACTATTTATTTTCATGAATATAACTGCAGTCTTATATAAGCAGAGTTTTCCCTCCTTACTTTTGGATACTCTGGCATGGTCTCCCATTTTCTGACAAAATGTTAATTCATTTGTGGTGAGACTATAAAAAAAATGATTCGACTTCAATTGATTTTGGTAAACAGCTATGAAATTTGTAAGGGAGAGTGGGGCAAAATGAAACGAAAAACGACTATTTGACGCAAATCGAACAAAAAAAATTTTTCTATCAACTTTTTTTTTTATTAACATTTGCTTAACTTTTTTTCATTATTGGGAGTACTGATGAGAATAATAATTCTCTATTCGGTAGAAAAGGAAACATGCGTTGCGAAAAAATCGCAGATATTATAAAACCCCTAGATAGCGCAGAGAACACCTCTACAGATGAATCCCACTCCCCTGTTAGATCTCGATCTCAACGTCCTCTAGTTAGATTTCCCCCTGAATCTCTAGCTGTCGAAGACCTCGACATCGCTGAGTCTATATTCTCTCCTTATTCGAAATTCCCGAAGGATTTTCATATATTTCTTATTATGGAGACAATATTAATCATTTTGACTTATTTTATCCACAGGTCTCTTTTCAAGTAATATGAAATATTTAATCTACAATTCAATTCAATCATTAATCTGAATTCAGAAATTCAGCATTTTATCGTCCTTTTCCGCCTTCAGGGTCTCCCCCTGGGCCTTCCTCTGGACTTTGGATTTTGCTGCTTCATTTTCTTTTCAATTAATGCATTGACAAAATGTTCTCCCATCAAAACTTCTCAATAATTTTCCATTCTACTGAATTGAAAATTATTATTCTTGTCAGTACTCCCAATAATAAGTATAAACGAAACAATAGGAATAAACAAAAGTTAATAAAAAAGAAGTTGATGACATTTTTTTTTTGCTCGCATTGCGTCAAACAGTCGTTTTCTGACTTTTTGATTTTGCCCCACTCTCACCTATTATCCTTTTCCCCTTCCTTCATTTCAAAAGTTTCATATTCCTCCGCATCGAGGGATCTTCTCTTCCACTTTGACACATTCAAAATCACTCACACAAATATTTTTTCACTAATTTTATTATAAATATTAGAGTAGTTAAAAACCTGTATGTTTCATGTTTATATAAAATACAAGGTCTGATCTATGTTTACAATTCCTTCTAATTATTTTGGATGAACTTTCCTCCGTTAACAAAAACTTGGCATTCTGTAATTCACAATGAAAAAGAGCTTGCAGACATTATGCACATGAATTATTGTATTTTTGTACTATAAAATGAATAGACGGGAAGATACTGAATTATCTGGAAGAGAAGCGATGTGTGGCGAAATTTTTGAGAGATATTTATTGTCGATTTGTATGAAACCCAAAGAATATCTCTTGATATTTGTTTGCAACATCACTTACCAACGAGGTGATCGTATCATTTAACGGAGATTCTCCTTTTGAGGCGAATTCCGATCTGAATTGTTGACATCCTAAGTAGATCATAAATGAAAGATTCATCATCATGTACAGAAAGAAGAAGATATAAGAAAAATGTTAAACTTTTCTTTTTTCATATTGTTCAGATGAATTTCCTAAACATAACGTAGAAAATTGGTGAATTAACGTCTCCCTATTTTCATGTAATTACAGAATTATAGCATCTAATACCCTTACTCCAACGTTTTTCGTCTTACTTCCATAAATTTAGTTATTCGAAATGTTTTTGCTTAATATCTATAGTTATACAAAATATAAGGCCGCCACTTTAATACACTGACTAGACCAGTTTCAAATAGACGCTTTCAAACACGATTTGTGTCAATAATACTTTTCAACACTAGGATCCCATAACATTCATTATTCCTTCTAAATTCAACAAAAATATTGAGGACGATTTCCATCTGGCAATTGTCTGCAAATAATGGACAATTAATTATAAACTGTCCTAATAAATAGCATGCACCTTCTTTATTTTTTTTTCTATGACAGAAATCTATGAAGTTGTGGAGTGATAGAATGAGATGAGTTAAAAATTTTCTTACGCAGAATTTTTGGAATATCTTCGAAATCAATAGATTGACGAGAATTAATCAAAAGATCTGTTCTTTGGAAAATGGGCAACGGTTAACCATTGAGTCATTTCGATGATGAGGGCTGTCAACATTTTTTTTATGTAAGATTCAACGAGCTACAAAGAAGGTCTTCATTATATCTCTCTCAAAACTTATTACTTCCGAAGATTCGCTAAGAGTTCGGTATAAATTATTGCTTCATCTCTTTGCAACACTTTCACTAATATTTATTGGAATAATTGGATCAATAAAAAAATCGTTCTAATTCCTTATTGATTTTTTGTATATTCAGGTTGTGAACGTGGTTTTCGAATGAATTAACAACAGACGAGAATGTTACGAAACTTTTCTTCATTTTTTGTTTCTCGAAAAAATTACTATTAGACAGAGGACGGAGGCTTAACGATTTATCAAAACTCCCAAATTTAATTTTCATCATTAGATTAAGAAAACATCACAGTCACATTTTAAATCTCATAACTTCAGGAAGAAATTGACGAGTACATTATTTTCGAGAAATAAGAAATGAATTTTGAAGCTTCAATTTGAGCGGAAAACCACAGGTCTACGATTATCTTGAGTCCTGAATTTGTTGAAATAGAAAATAAATTGTTTTGTTCAATCCAAATGAACTTCCAGGCAAAAACTTCTTCCAACATCAATGATTTACTGATTATTCACCGGTTGGAACTGAAGGAAAATGTTACTTCGAATGATGCATGGAAATGGGATACGTTGATGAACCTGTTCAACTGATTTCTCGAATGATTTTCAGTGGAGATTCTGTAGAAGTGAAAAACTAAAATCAAATTGGCATATTATTTTGCTGAGGTTTCCAAAAGTAAAAGATTTATTCCAACTTTCCGAAAGACCTTCTATGTAGAAGAGTCTCCTTTCTACAAAAAAAGATATTTAAAAATTTCCTTCTGGATCTACTAATAGCAGAGATATCGGCATTATAATCGATACATATAAGTGAAAAATCAGAATATCCTCAGAAATATCCTTTAACCCAAAAATATCTTTATCCTGCTTTTCTATAAAAACTAATAATATCTCCAAAGCAATCAAGAGAAAACTCACAATTCAGTTTTGAAAGCGTCGAAAGAGTCACTTTTTATCAAAAAGGGGTAATTTACTTCTAACAGCGCCCTCGCACACGACGAGTCTCTGAGCAGCTGAAATATTACATAGAGGTACAGTACCTTCGAGGCTGGCACGTAAAAGACCCAGTCTACTAGGTGTAGCCTCGATAGTATGATCAAAGCCAATTCTGAGAGCCCCAGCAGTTGCTTGTTTCCTCTCGAAGTATTCGACGATTTTAGAAATGGTTTTACTGGAAGATCCAATCCCTCCGAATCTGTCCTCCCAGCATGAGGAGTCCCCACCCCCTAGACTTGCAATGTCCTCTGAGGAGTCGGTGTATATTGAGCTTGTTCGGTGGTCGTCCAACAGGAAGAGACTGCTCGCTGCTGAGCTGCTCAGGGTCGAGGCGTGACGACGATGTGGGGGTTCTGGGCTCAAATCCTCTCCGACGCAGCTCCAGAAACCTGACTCGCAGCTTAACCGGCGACGCGGCTCCCAACTCTCTCGGAAGAGTGGATGTGTAAAAAGATTCGCTACTCCCACCTTTGTTGCAACCTAAAATAGTAATTTCAAATGTTTAGATTTTCATTCTCCTTTCACAGGACTGAATCGACATGAAATAATGTCAATTATTTCTGGCACCCGAATTCTGGCCAATTCGAGTGCTGCATTCGATGTTAAAAAATAAAATAGATCCAGATAAATACTTGAGTGCATATTTCCTCCTAATTTTTCAAATAACTGTCAAATATTGTGTAATCGAAGGGTTTCATTCCCTAAACATGAACAATTGACGTAACTCCTTATGTGTCTTTTCAATGACAAAATCCTAACAGTTACCAATCTTGTATTCGAACATTTTAGAATTCTATTACGTTTTTTTATATCGTGTGAATATTTCATAATGGGCATAGGGGTTTCCGGAATTCCACTCTCCGACTGTCCCTAAGGTATCTTATACGAAGCCTCTACTGTAGTCTGCTAGTCCCTTATTGTCTTTTGCCGGAAACTACTGACAAGATGCCTTAAGCCTTTTTTATTCCTCAAATTTTTGGCTTGCGGTAAAATATCTTGCGCTGTGGATATTACAGTCAATAATTCAAGATAATTCAAACGTAGTGAAACGCAATTTTTACACGTATTAATCTTGTATACGGAATTTCCTCAAGTGCAATGAAGGTCTGTTAAGATGTCTTCAAATCGCTCATTACGTTAATAATTCGATGATTGAGAAAAAAAATAGTTGAATTAGTTTCACGACAAATGGCACAAGAAGGAATTGTCAAAATGCCTGCTTTGTACAGAATGCCATGATGTGTCAGGAAGGTCTTTGGACATGCTTTCCTAAATTCTGTGCAATATCAATATTTACCTTTTTTTCCCACTTTTTTCTCGCCGTAGGACTGCTAGGCTCTGAACTCGGTTTCTTCCTATCCAGGATTTTTGCAATACTATCATTCTGCGCAGGTTTGAATTTTCCACTAACACCATCAGTCACACTGGCTCTTACATCTTCGAGAGACGGCAGCTCCAAACAACTTGAGAACAAGTCCCCAAGAATTTTTTTGACTCCACCAAGGGCATGAAAAGGATTGGCAGTCATAGGGCGATAATGTGGATCCCTCCGACTCGCTAACTCGGCGATTCGCCTCGCCGAGTGGCACCTGGCTTTATCAGATGGCGTAGCATTATTGCAGCCTCTAGCATCAGCAGATAAACTCCTGTGTTTTACTGTTCGTCTTCTCAATGTCCTTCCTATTCTCGCTATTTCATCTATACTGGTTATCAACGCCGGATCAACTGATTGTCGGTTACTTAGGCTTCCTTTATTTTCTTCCTCGGCTATTAAATTATCCAGAATCGTTACGATTTCGGGAAACAATGGACGTGACTTTGGTTCATACTGGAATGAAAAAACATGTATGGATAAACCAATTGATTCATTGAATCAATTGAGAAAATTGGTTTTTTAATCAGAATCGCGTGAAACTTGAGAGGTGGGAGGTTTAGAATGGTTTCTTTAGACAAGGTACCAAAAGCTAGCAAGGCCATATGGAAAACATCGACATTAATATATTGCAACAGAATTAGGGAGTTTTTCCCTAATTTTTTATAATAATTTTCAATTTATCTTGTTTCTATTTTTTTTTTGTTTTTTTATGGCCTTGTCAGGTTTTTTTAAGCCAGCAAGGCCACCAATGAAAACACATTATTTCCTCTATAAGATAATTTTTTTTCTACATGAGATATTTTCATCCTGAAAAGGCACCGTCTGGTGACTCTAGAAAAAAATTTCATTACTCCAGGTGAACCCTGGATCATCGAAGATGTCAAAATGTATCGGAAATCCACTTACAGGAAAGTTAAGTTGAAAATTCGCGAGGGTCAAAAGTAAGAGGCACGCCGGCCGGACAATCAAGCATTGAACAATCACGAGGGTCATCGTGACCATTTCTCTCCATATTATCTTTTGAAGACACTCGTTACCGCAAGAATCTCATATTCAATGAATTATGAGAAATATACTTATTGTGTTACGTTTTAGTATGTTAAAAAGTAATTTAACAGTGGATAATTGACAACTTACAGTGCAGCAGTTGAAGGCAAGTTGTAAAAAGGCAGGTGGTGGATCAGCAGCAGCACAAATTTCAGCAACAGCAAGGTAATCAAGCCCGAAATTATCGGACCGCGGTAGTACATCAGGATCAGCAGGTACTCGTCCAATTAATTCACAGACAACAATTCCAAATGAAAATATGTCTGAACGATGATCGTACCAGTGTCCCTTTAGACACTCCGGTGACATCCAGTAAGGACTTCCCACTGTGCTCAGACGATACCCCGAGTTGGGATCAGGTATCTTTGCTGCTAATCCGAAATCTCCGACCACAGCCGTTAAATCACCGTTTGCCTCGTCTCGTTTTATCAAAACATTCTTCGATGTCAAATCACGATGAAAAATTCCTCTACTGTGCAAGTAGGCCATACCACGTGCAACGTCCCGGGCGAGGTTCATTCGTGTTAAATGACTCAGTGGAGTATGCCTCGCCATTATGAGCTGCTCTAGGCTACCCCCATTTATGTATTCCGTCAGTGCGTGGAGTTGACCCTCGTGCACACAAACGCCCATGAACCTTTTGGTTGAAGGGCGAAAAATTACTTGTTATGAATTTTTTCAGATAAAGGTCTTTCATTTTTGTTTTCAAAATGTTTTCATTTTTTTCATCTGATAAGTTAATCTTTAAATTGTTTTTTTTTTTTTAACTAAAATAGGTCGCGCGCTTTTAGCGCGCTATCGATAGGTTAGTATACTGTAGATTTCCAAAAAAAAGACTCGGCTTCGTATGAATTTTATTATTTTCAAATTTTTTAGTAGAGTAAAAAACAAAATAAAGAGAAAAATTTTCAGATTGTTAGTCGCAAATATTTCAAGTCGATGTGAAGAATTAAAAATAATAAATTTTAAATTGTGTCCAATTGATTATTCCGCTGAATTATTTTGATTGTCAGTGGGATCATCTGGATTTTTAGCAGTATATATATACATGTATTGCATATTATTGATACATAAGATACATAAAGGAACATCGACTGCAAAAGAAAAATTTCAGTTTCATGATTTTTCTGGGTAAACTCGTTGAATTTCCAGTATAGTATTTTGTGGATCAAAGGCGGAAAATCGAGACTATCAATTGTCATTAATTAAAATTTAATTCATTAATTAGTTTTTTTAATTTTTCAATTTTTTCGAAAATTGATTGTCCCAAAACGAAAACTCTATTCTCTGCTTACATTGTGGGGTACAATGGGGTGAACTACATGACAGGCTAATTAGCCGGAGCGGTAAATTGGACGGCGGGTAAATAAAATACTCGTGTCTAGTGGGATAATCGGGTAAAATCGATAGCGAGGTAAAATGAGCGAGCTTGGCAAATATGAGGACAGACTCCAGTCTATACCGTATTGCCGAAGACTCAGATAGACTCAAGTCTCTCCCCAAAAACTTTCCGAGACGCGAAACCGATTACGGGAGATGCAGGCAGACTGATTTTAATCTCTCATAGTCTTGGAGAGATCCGATAGACTGAAAATTTTTATCCCAGGGATCGTCTTTGAAATGTAAAAGCCCATCATTTCAGCGATGAATTAATTAATTTACACGAACTAGTAATTCTAGCTCAAAAATTTAAGAAAAGTAATTTACCTAAGTATGTTAGGATGACTAAGTTTATTCATTAATTGTACTTCTTTAAGCATGTTTGGCCTGTTTGCTGGTAATTGATTCATCTTGAGGACCATCACTTGTCCCGTTACCTTGTGGGTGACCTGAAACAGTAATGATACACAATTATGAATTTCTTTATCAATTGAGAATTAGAATAGGTTTCATTACATTTTTATTTGGCAGAAATGATCATTTAAGATCAATGTAATTATTGGATGAAGATTGTTGCGCGAGATGCGATAAATCCTTTCAGTTACTCTTACGGTAATGTGATGATGGAAAAAGGCATACCAATCAGCCGAGCCATTCGAATAAGAGTTATTGAATAAACACACTTTTCTTTACTACTTATTTTCGCTCAAGATACTGGTAATCTCAATACTGAGAGAAAAATTTCACAATATGTACCGTATTTACTTGAGCGATGTGCATTATTTTCAATGGTTTATCACAGAGAGAAAAAAGTGGATTGGCTTTATTCTAAGTTTTAGAAAAACATCGTTTAAAATTAATGATTAAAATGGAGATTAATTTTGAACCAAAATATGCTTAATTTTCGCAAAAATATTCTCTAAAATCTAGTTCATTTTTTGCGATTTTTACATAAAAAAAATTTTTTTGAACATGAAATATCTAAAAAAAACAAACACCTCCTACTGGAGAATGTTCCTAAGGACTCACTCAATCCCCTAAAAAATCACCAATCCCCTGGAAAACGCACTTGAGGGTAGTACAAGAGTAAAAGTTCATTGTTTGCGATTTTTATACAAAAAAAATTTTTTGAAAATGAAAATCTATTCTAAAAAGAACATACACTTAAAGTCGATAATGATCATTATCTCGCAAGTCTGTCACACTTATGCCTCATTGGTTCCAGCCATCTGAGGCGGGAAATTTAATTCGTGATTAATTTAATTTTGAGATTTTCGGGCCTTCGTGACAATAAATAGTATGTGGTAAGCTATCGTCCGAATGACACAATATACTATTATTGTTGTGTGGACGGTGACGGAAATTCTAAAAGAACATCTTACATTCATCGAAATGATTAATTAAATGAGTATAAACGATGGTATTGAATAAAAGAGATGGACGGACTCATTAGAAAGCCCAAATGTTTGATTCTAAGGATCGAACAGTCACAAGAGTCAAACGAGTGAAATAGGAAAGTCCGTTTGATCCTCCTAATTGGTCGACCAGTATCCTTAGTCAGGCAGCCTTAGTCTGGTCACCTGCGCGGGAATGTGCTACTGTATTATTTAGACTTTAACATTGCCAAATTTACTCTACACTGGCCGGGCGCGTTCAGCGAGTTTCCGGCAACGTTGTGTGACCGACCATTTCATTTATCATGGGAAAAAAAATTCTTCTGTTGGAAATAATTTATTTTCGTTTAGAATTTTGGGAATTATGTTTGTTATAAAACCACTATAATGTGCTATACACTTCAATTGTAAAACTCAATTTTTTTTATTTTTCCAGTTATCCAGTCAATGGTAATTAATGAAAAACGATGCGCTGCGGTGTTTCCGTCATATGATGACCAATTTAGAGTTAGGATTATTTTACTCATCTCTTCTGTCTTTTCAGATTTCGTTTTGCCCCTCTTACTTCATCCAAAATATGACAGATGTCCGTTTTACCTCGCCTACTTTCAACATCTCGAACGTCTCAATTTCATCCCGCTTGTCGATTTTGCCCCTCTCCTCTTATTTGATATAATAATCAATTCTCTCAACAAGAAAGACCGTCTGTATCATTTTTCAACACTTGGATAATTTTATGGTCGTAGTGTGAAAAATTGTCCTATGATGTTGAAATTTGTACAACAATGGGGACCAAAAATCTGATGGTTACAGTGAGGCACTGGAAAATGGCGTAAAAATGAGGGAAAAAAAGACGAAATAACTTAATCATGAATGTAGTAAGAATCCTGAGTTATTTGAAAGCCTATATCCAGCCAAGATTCCTTGGCAATAGCTGACTTAGTTGGATCTGAGCCAAACTATGACGAATAAGGTTGACTCAATGGTATCCACGAATTTCTGGTCAACAAAATGAAACTTGAATCGAGAAATCCACAAAATGAGGAATTATTCAACAAATTCAATTAATTTTTGACATACTGAAGAATGTTATTTATATTGCCTCCGAAATTTAATTTGGACCGGTCTTGAAGAATGTTCCATATCCAATCAAATATAGCAGAGTCTGCAATGGAAATTATAGACTTAGAGTATATTCAGGAACGACATTGAGTAATAGGTATCCTGCAATTCCTAATAGGCCAGATGCAATATAACTCATGAGGGTTTAGTTGAGAGGTTTCGGATTACTTATGACAGGTTTTACTTTGTTAAGAGGCCAAATGTAAGACGTGCTTTCATTAAAAATTCGACACCGTCATACATACACACATACGGACGGACACGGTAAAAAATAGTATATTACGCAACAAGTGCGTAATGGGTTTTTTGGCTTGTGGGAAGTTGTAAAACGAGCCGAAGGCGAGTTTTATAATCCCAAGAGTCAAAAAACACCATTACGCACGAGTTTCGTATACTATTTTATGTCATAGGGCCCAGAATCCGCGATTCTACCGAGCGAAGCGAGGTTAGAATCGCGTGATTCTGGGCACCATGGCATAAAATGCATTTTCGGACTTTTTGGATCATAATGGATATAACACAAAAAATTCGAAACCGAAATTTGAACGATTACAATACTTGGAAGCAAAAAATCAAAAAGTAAATAATTAATTTATCAATACTCCAAAAGAAAAGGATCTAATTTGGCTCCAAAAGGATAAAATTTCTCTGCGCAGCACCTGCAAAAAAAAACGGTATCGCCAGTGAAATGCGTGCTAAGAAGATGCTAGATCATCAGCAGAGATACATCAAACAGAATTATAAACTTTCATGCGATTTCTAAAATCGTACAACTTCCGACGTGAGTCAACGATGTGCAGTTATCATTGACCGGAAGTACGCTTGCCTGTATGTATACGAAGTTGTTAAAACCTTCACAATCATGGATCTCCAGCAAAAAAACCTTACAACTGAAAGAGTAAAAAAACTTCTCGTCAATCAATTATCATCATTGAATCTCGAAGACCACAGTCATGACTCAATAGGTTTTTTTTTTTTTGGGG